TTTAATTTAACCTCGAAGAATATTTATATGGTGCGAGACTGTGAATCGAAAATTTCTTCTGCAAGTGTCTGTTCTTCCTTCAGAGTTCTTTCATAAATCGAATTGTGCAAAAAAAGAATGGGGAAAGGGGAAGAATAAAACTCTTGCATTGATTTTAGTCTTGGACAAAATTCCTGTAGGCCTTTATGAACAGTTCATAATTTAAAGGTCAAAATGCAAGCAGGTAACATATCGATCTGATTTGATAAGGGAAATTTGGAAGCCCTTACTGTCAGTTAAGTAATGATACTGCAATCCAGCTGTTCTCTATGTTGTGTGAATTCAGTGTCACAATCCAATGCAGAATTAAGATGGCTTAAGTTTATTGTGGATTGTGGCCTTGGCAGGCTGGGAAGGTGGAACATTGATAGTCAAAAACAAGGTGTGGGTTACTACAGAAATGTGCTTGGCCGGGGAGGGTCTCCCCCACCCTCCATATCTGTTTTTTTGTGTTGATTTTTTTCCTCTCCCAGCAAGATTTGAATAAGAACTTATCCTGAACATGATAATTGTATAATAATTGGTGTAACCAACAGTGCATCGGTAGCGCTACTGTCAGATACAGAGTCATGCTCGTTTTTTGCTGTTGTAAAAAAATATATATTTTTAATCCTGTGGAGCGCTGCTTTGGAAACATTTAAAACTCCACTGAATATTCTTTTTGCACTAACTGGCAGTCTTGTTGTCTCAGTCTTATTACAATATATCAACTTGTCATCAGTTCTGCTTGTGTCTTTACTATTGTGACGGTGTTTCCAGAAACTACCGTTGCCATTTTCCAGGTGGCCGCTGGAGATCTTCCTGCCATTACAACTGATTTCCAGACTACAGGGGTCAGTTCCCCCTGGAGAAAATGGCTGCTTTGGAAGGTGGACCCTCCGGCATTCTACCCCACTGAGGCCCCTCCCCCTCCCCAAACCCCGCCCTCCCCAGGCTCCACCTCCCCAAATCTCCAGGCATTTCCCAGACCAGACCTGGCAACTCGACCATATGCAGTTCTGCACTTTAAAAAAGTGTTTTTGAGGGGATACGCATTACACTGCTGCAGCAGAAGAGGATACAGGGAATTAAAACGCTCCTGATTTTTTAGTTTCTCTTCTGGACCAGGGGTGTGGAGGAATGTGTGCATGAGGAATGTTAGAGAAGCTGATTGCCCATAGCCCTAAAAAAGGAGCTGACATCCCCTCATTTTCAGAATGACTAGAATATTCATGATAATCACTGCTTTCACGATCAGTAACCAAGGCTTCAGAAAAGGCGATTTTACGAACCCTCTTTGACAACCATGGGTACGCGTTTCCGTTCTTATAGTCTAATTCATCTCTTCTAAATTTTGATAGTCTTCAATTGTGTATGATGTTCATTAATTTCATCCTCCGATTGCTTCATTTTTAATGTCCGGACTGGTAACCTCCATAGATGTTTTCAAGCCTTCCACAGTATCTCTGAGTTATACTTCTAAATCTTCAACCTCTTTGCTGGTTTTCTCTATCTGAAGCAGCATCAGATCAAAAGAACACCTGTTGAGAATGGCTGTCCATTCCATCTATTGCAATTCTGCAGGGCCTGTAAGATGGAGCTGCTCCACTGGGCTTTTAGTTGAGGTGGCTGGCATCCACATTCTTCCATCTTTCAGCCTCCCCTACCAGAGGCCTTGGCCTTGTGTCAAGCGGCCAATGTCACCACACCGCTCCGAAGAAGTACATCATAGCATCGTTTCAAGCGGCCAACAGCACCGCACCGCGCCGCTCCGAAGAAGTACATCATAGCATCGTCACCAAGGCAATGCCTTATGCTGGTTTTATTTTTGTTCTTCTAACTTTTAAATTTCTAACTTTGTAATTTATGAGATTTAATTGTTTTATTGTCACATCCTATGTGACCTGCAACTCGCCCTGAGCCCGCTTGCGGGGATAGAAATTGAATATAATAAGTAATAAAATTTTAAAATCCTCATCATTAAACATTCCACATGGTTTTTTCATGCACAAGCCTCTAGGTATATAACTATTTTTACAATATTTGATAAGAGATGATCCACGTAAGGGATATCTCATATGTTTCTTTTTAAGTAGTTCAAAATCAATCCAAACGGAGATAGAAGGACCACCATTATCTGAAAAAAGGGAATTGCCTGCAAGCAGTTTGGCTTTATATGTATGCATACGCAACTCTCACAAAAGCTGTCCTTTGGATATGAGCTACATTGTAAGCTGGTATGGCTTTGTTCTCTCTTTTTACACACTGTTACCTTGTTATATAAAGATGTCATTGAACTGATGTGATGTTTATAAATAATTTTTACAGGCTTAATCACTTGAGATAGGCTTACTCACTTGAGTGGACTCTTGAGCCTGGCTCTTCCAAATTTATTTACTGGTCTGATTTTTAGCCCTTCCTCCCCTGTGTAGGGCTCAGGGCAGTGTATACATTATGTCAATAAATACATTTACAAGTGAAATATAAGGTAAATTAAACCATTAAAAACAATGAAAATGGCAATAAAGAAACTGTTCAGAATTGCGTCTTAAGGTCACTTTATGTCCTTTCCCATAAAGGAGAGGAAAGATGGAAGAAGCCATGCTTGATGGCATTTTAGGATATTTTATGTCATTTCCCCATGAAGGGAAAGGAGAGATGGGGGAGGCCAGGTTTGATTCCAACCATTGCTATCCTCAACCATACATTGCCATGCACTCCACCCACTAGACCACACTGCCGCTCTGAGCCAGCCTCTCTCCTCCTTCTCCACTCCCAGCACCGCCTCCAAAACTTAACTAAAGTGTTAAATTGCTAAACTTATGAATTAGTGTTTAAAATTGGTAGATTTGTAGTTTAATATAGGTTATATTGTTAGATCAGGGATGTCGAACTCATTAGTTATGAGGGCCGGATCTGACATAAATGAGACCTTGTTGGGCGGGGCCACGTGTGTCTTAAAATGTAATGCCAGGTAAAGGTAAAGTTTCCCTTGCTCGAAAGCCAGTCGAATCCAACTCTAGGGTTGCGGTGCTCATCTCCGTTTCAAAGCCGAAGAGCCAGCGCTGTCCGAAGACATTTCCGTGGTCATGTGGCCGGCATGACTAAACACCAAGGCGCATGGAACTCTGTTACCTTCCCACAGAAGTGGTACCTATTTATCTACTTGCAATTTCTTGCTTTCGAACAGCTAGGTTGGCAGGAGCTGGAACTAGAGACGGGAGCTCACTCCGTCATGCGGCACCCAGGTCTCGAACTGCTGAACTACTGACCTTTCACAGCCGGCAGTTCAGCATCTTAACCACTTGAGCCACCGCAGCTCCTGGATCCGCAGCCAGGTAGCGGAGATATAAACTTAATAAAGGACATGAACACAGGGTTTTTTTTACTTAAAATAAAAGCTTGCTTAAAACATTAGCAGTCTTGCAATATTTT